GCTGCTGGAAGTTTTAGACCAAGTGCTGGTGGAAGTCTTGGTGCAGATTCTCATGGTGTTGCTGTTGGAGATCCTGGACTAGGTGCTGGTGGAACTCTTCTTCCTAGAGCAGGTGCAAGCTCTCATTGTCTTGCTGTTGGTGGAAGTGGAAGCAGTGGTAGTGGATCAAGTGTAGGAACTCTTGTTCCTAGTTTTGGAGCTACTGCAAGTTCTCATGGTGTTGCTACTAGTGTTCCTGGTGGAGGTATCATGAGTTTTGGTGGTCCAAGTGTTCGTGATCGACAATCCAATTGGACTCACGATGAAGTGATGGTGCTGATTCGGGAGAAGAGGATTGAGCTCGAACAATACAAAGGCACATCTGATAGAGAGCGTATGGTTTGTTTGAAAGAGAAGTGGGAGAGGATCTCGGCACGGCTTCAAGTTGAAGGCTATGACAGGGATCCTGAGAAGTGTAGGATAAAATGAACGAACTTGATGACTGTCTACAAAGCTGTCAAGCTCTATGATCATTCCACTGGCTGTGGCAATTACTTTGCGCTGACGACCAAGGAGCGAAGTGCTGCGAAGCTTAGAATTATTGAAAAAGAGGCTTTTGATGAGATTGACGAGTTTCTCTCTGCAAAGCCAAATATCACTCCAGCAAAGCTTCGTAACAATATCAGTCGTCCTCCTACAAGATCTGGTGGTTCTGGCAATGGTTCTCGTAGCAGCAACTTTGGCACAGGTATTGAAAACGAAGACAGAGGCACAGCAGAAGAAGTCCATAGTCCACTGCTGCAGCAGGAAAACTTAGGCAACAAAGAAGCTAGATCGACTGGCCGGGCAAAGAAGAAGGCAAGAAGGAGTGATCTCCTTGCATTAGCTGATGTCCTCAAGGAAGGGAATGAGGCATTGCTCAAGATGTTCACTGTTGCTGAAGAGACGAGATTGAAGCTGCATCAAGAGCAAATGGAGCTAGAGAAAGAGTCCATTCACCTTGAGCAAGATTGATTAGCCATGGAGAAGGAGACAAACCTTGGCATAACCACAGCTTTAGTTGCAATAGCATTGACCATTCAGCAAGGTAGGATAGATGCATTCATGTTAGATTTAATTGGTATTTTCCTTTCTAACAATCCTTTTTTGGTTAATAGGTTTGCATCGTTAGTGAGTCACTGGGGAACAAAAAATAAAAACCTGAATAAAGATAGCTAGTAAGTATAGTTTATGTTCTTTTCTTTCTCAAAATGCTATTATATTTTCAGGAAATGGATCCCCTTCACCTTGTGTTGCTGGTCTTGGTTATATGCCACTGGATATCAATGCAAAAAAGGGATCAAGAGTTCCGAGTAAGGCAGCAACAAATAAAAAAGAAGAGAAGACAAACTATAGATAGCTTAGTGGAAATGGATAGATAGGAGCAGAAACGACTGATGCAACTGCGGTCTTTTCACTCTCATGTTGTGGCTGCTACATCAAGTTCTCAACAACCACAACTAGAACGGATTTGGTGGGTGAAACCGCGATCAACAGTGTGGTTTGATAGGTTTGTGGATAGATACTATGATGATAAGCGGTGGAAGGAGAACTTTGGAATGAAGAAGCAAACTTTCAACAACTTGGTTGATTGTTTGCATGACTCAATTGTGAAGCAAAACACACACTACCGCATGGCTATACCAGTTCGTGTTCGTGTTGCATGTGCCATCTACAAGTTCCGGCATGGATCCAAGCTTCTTTCATTGTCTGAGAGGTTTGGGATTGGGAAGAGTACAGCATTTGAGGTTATCAAGGAGACATGTGCAGCAATTCTTGAAGTCTTTGCAGATGTGATCAAGTTTCCTACATCATCCTCAGATTTTAAAAAAGGTTATAGATGGATTCCAAGGGATTACAAAACTACCAAATGTTGCAGGGTGCATAGATGGATCACAAATAAAAATAGAAAGACCGTGGGATGATCCTGAGGTCTACTTCAAGCACCATTGCTACAGCATCACGTTACAAGCCATTGTGGATAGTAATGGAATGGAAAATTTAGTCACTTACAGGAAGACCTTTAAAGAGATATGGATAGAGAAGAAGCTAAATGTATCTCACTTTCATGTTTTTGGTTGTGCCACCTTCAAACATATCCCTAACTAACTATGCAGAATGCAATCACAAATCATACAAACTTTGGAATTGGGCAACCAAGAAGATAATCATCAATACGAATGTGATCTTTGTCGAAGATAACTTCTCATAGTAGAGCCAAGGTGAATAACTATCCATTAGCTTTGTTAATGAAGATCTTTTAGTTCTTATATTCCCTTTTGGCTTCGAAGAGGATGCATTGATTGTTGATGAAGTGAGGATTGTTACCTTTGAGCATGATCCATTGAATGATGCTCAACTAGAGCTAACTCTAGTCCTTGAACTTGTTGGTCAGTAGCAAAATGCTTTATATCCTTGCTATTAGCAAGGAATGCCACATTTTGCACCTCTAGTTAAGGGTCCACACATAAGAAAGCCCTCTTTAAAAGTTTTGGAAAATATCACATCTTTGCTCAACCAAGATGAAGTTGAGCTTTGCATATTTATTGATGAAAATGTCCCCTCAACTTATGATAAAGCCATGGGTGGTTTAGAGTCTCACTTATGGACAAAGGCCATCAACAATCCTTTACTCAAGAATAACACATTTATAAAATGTGGTTCATTGACTATAAATGGGTCTTTAAAAAGACATATAATGCTAATGGTAGTGCTCCTCACTACAAAGCATGCTTGGTTGCAAAAGAGTTAACACAAATATGAAGTGTGGGCTATAGCAAAACTTTCTCACCAATTGTCAAAATGGCTAGCATGCAAACAATCTTTGCGGTAGCAAATGCCCAGAGGTGGAAAGTTCACCAAATGGATGTGAAAATAATTTTTTTTAGTGATCTTAATAAAGACATCTTTATGCATACACCACCTGAGTTTCATAGCCATGAGATAACATAAAAGCTCAAAAAAGCCTTCTATGGTTTCATGTGTTTAATATCAAAAGTTTGATGTGGCCTTGTGTTAAGAGGGCTTTTGTTATGCCTCAACAAACCTGAACATCTATATCAATGACAATTATGGCATCACTATAGCTTTTTCATTATATGTTGATGACCTCCTCATCATTGGGGGCAATGATAGTGTTATCTCGGCACTAAAGGCATTTTTGGCTAAACATTTTCAGATGAAAAACCTTGGGGAAGTCAAAACATTCTTGGGAATCCAAGTGAATCAATGCATAATGTAGGATCCCTCTTGGAATGGTTTGGGATGGAAAATTGCCATCTAGTGCACGAGAAGTTGAGTATATCACTCTAACCATAGTATGCAAGGAACTTGTGTGGCTGAGATAGCTATTGAAGGACTTTGGGGCTGAGCAACTAAGTCAATATTCAAAGCAACATCACCATGATTTGCAATCCTGTTTTCCATGGGCACAACAAGCACATCCTTGTGCAATTTCACTATGTGAGGGAGCAGGTTGAAGCTAACATCATGTGTGTTGACTACTTGCCGACTGGGAAGATGCTTGCAGATGTGCTGACAAAGCCTTTGGGACAGTCACAAGCTTGTCACCTTTCAGATGCAGCTTGGGATCCATTGAGTTTCCATCTTATGGGGGAGTGTTCAGATATAAGCTGGAACTCAAGTAACACTACACTAGGGTTTTTTCCTTTTGCACCTTTGAGTTTTCTCTAACAAAGATCAAGACATGAAAACCAAGTTAAGAATGGCAGAGAAAAAGGAACAAAAAATCATTAGTATGTGAGAGAGAGAGAGAGAGAGCAAGAAAAGTTTTGTGATATACCTCTACATTGCGTCTCTCTTCCTGAGAGCTACACTCTGTCGTATACACCACCATAAAATCTGAGGAAAAATGGGCTCTATAGTCAGATTGGAATGAGCCGCAACAGCTCGAGAATTTTGACAGATCGGGGCTTCACTCCAGCCAGTGCACCTAAACCCCACAATTTTTATGGCATCCAGCAGCTCAGTGACAACTCAGCCATATGATCACGGCGATGTTTCTTCCCTTCGAGTAGAAAAACAATTGGTAGGATTTCGTAAAAGAAACTACCAAAGAAAGGCGCTCGACTTACAAATTCATTCGTACATCGATTAATTGCCTTCCACACACACTTTTTAAAGGCAAAAAGCCTGTTTTTCCTCTCTTTTTTTCATTCATTTGTAGAGATCTTAAACCAGGTTTGTTCTGTTCACTTTCATCTTTATGGTTACACGAGTTGTTCTGTTCCCCCTGAAATCGAAAACCACTTCGAAAATATCAGACTAAGCTTTAAAGGCTCCCATCGCTGCCGAAGAATAAAGGTATTCAACTGAACTCAAGGTTTATAGATGAAGCACCTCTGACGCCGATACCTGAAAAGCAATTCTAGGAATGACTTATAGAAAACGGACTATAACGTATATGGTGCCGAGTCCAAAATCAGCCCCTTTGATAACATCATCGGATTTCTGTTCTCTTTCTGGATTAGTTTTTGACGAGCCTGCTGGGCTGCAATCTTTCTAGGTTCATTGTGGATTCCTGAATAATTCCCGTGGTGACATGGACAGGGGACAAGACATATCTGGTGTGAATTTGTGGTTGCCTCAGGAATTTCGACGACTACGACATGCCTCACCATGACAGATTTCTCTGGAGAGCATCAAGGCCGAGGGCTTGCTCACCGAGGACGGAGGTGGTCAGGCATCTGGCGGCTAGTTCTTCTCAAGAACCTTGGCGTATGACGAGCCTCGCCGGAACGGCAAGGTACCCCACTCACAGGATCTTTCCGGCGGTGAAGTATAGCATCTGGGTCGATGGAAAGATGGAGCTGGTCGTGGACCCAATTCTCATACTTGAGAGGTTTGGAACCTCCACCGTCTCTCTCACCCTTGTTTCTAACTCGTTCGTTCGTTCGTTTGCATAGGCGGGCATAAGTTCGCCTTCGCTCGACACAAACACCACAAGAGCATTTACGAAGAGGCGGAGGAAGAGATACGCGAGGCCGCTGATAGACAAACACATGGAGATCTACAAGCGCGAAGGCATGCAACCATGGAGCAAAGCCAAGCTCCCAGTTCTTAGCGGTAAGTCAGCTCCAATTCTTCCAACGTTCCTCGGAGCAAAGTTCGATATTTCCAGATGTTCCAGAGGGAGCAGTGATCATCCGCGAGCACACTCCACTCACGAACTTGTCTGCTGCCTGTGGTTCAACGAGGTGAATCGATTCACGCCGCGCGACCAGCTGAGCTTCGGCTACGTTGTCCACCGATTGAACGGCTCCTTCCCCTTGTTCATGTTCCCAAACTGCGAGTACAACGCGCTCTTCGTCCTCCACAAGCACACGCGCGAGCACTCGTCCAAGGTGGAATGGGTGAAGACGCTGGACGAGCTCAAGGACGAGAGCATCGCGTTCGAGACGAGGGCCGGGCTGGGCTTGCTCGGGGATCGTTGACCGCCCGTTGGCCGACCGTTAATCGCAGCCGGAATCCAACGGCTGCGATAACCATATAAAAACGTCTAGGGGGGGATTTCTAGGGTTCTAACACAAAATGGAAGAGGAGGTCGATGACGCTATGTACGAGCGTAACAGGAGAGAGAGAGTGATGAGAGATCCATTCTTTCTGTCAGAGCTAGATCTCATAGTACAAGAGCCTAGATCACGCGTGCTGGATGAAGCGAGGCTAGCGCTAGAAAATGTGCCTAGGCCTAGGTATAATGCGTACGCATACGCAAACGCGGTGCATCACACGAGTTCTTCGGATGGCAGCAGCACACCAGTGCTCAATCTTTCCGTAATATCGAGTCCAAACGCTTCCGGTGAGGTTTCGAGCAGCTCTGGGGCCAGCGAGATCGAGGATTCAACCGATTCAGAAGATTCTAGTGAAGACTCTAGCAATTCCGGTACTGTACTATCGACTCAGGGCAGCGATCCGGGCTCATCCAGTGCCACGCCTTGGATTTCAGGGTATCCGCCGATGGTCGCGAGCTCAAGCGGCGAAAATCCGGACTCCTCCAGCGTAATCTCAGGTCTACTCTCTCGCAGGGAGGAGCCGATGGCGATATCGATTCCAAGGTCTTCCCGGGAGGGTCCTAGCAGCTCCGGCGCCGTAGGTCTAGGCTCGTCATCGAGCGCCAAAATATCGTCTCCAGGCGATCCGAGCTCGTCCAGTGCCACGGCAAGCGCTGTTCTTCCAGGTCCGCGCTCATCGAGCACCGCCTCGATTCCAGAGGATCCGAGCTCATCCAGCGCCGTAATATCGTCTCCAGGGAAGGACCCGAGCTCGTCCGCCGCAGCAAGCTTTCATCTTCCAGGTCCGAGCTCATCGAGCGGGGCAGCCTCGATTCCAGAGGATCCGAGCTCATCCAGCGCCATAATATCGTCTCTAGGCATGGATCCGAGCTCGTCCGTTGCCACAGCACCAGGTCCGAGCTCATCGAGCGCCGCAACCGCGATTCCGAAGGATCCAGGCTCATCCAGCGCGTCTCCAGGCAAGGATCCGAGCTCGTCCATTGCCGCAAGCTATGGTCTTCCGGGTCCGAGCTCATCGAACGCCGCAGCCTCGTTTCCAAAGGATCCAAGCCCATCCAACGCTATAATATCGTCTCCAGGCAAGGATCCGAGCTCGTCCATTGCCGCAGCAATTCCTGGTCCAAGTTCATCCAGCGGCAATCTTCCAGGGAGCGCCTCGACTCCAAGCTCATCCAACGCCATAATAAATCTTCCAGGTCTGAGCGCCGCAACCTCGCCTCCAGGTAAGGATCCGAGCTCGTTCCAAGCTCTAATCATGACATCTTCCAGGTCTGAGCTTATCCAGGGCCGCAACCTCCGATCCAAGTTCATCTAGCTCCTCTCCAGGTAACGAACCGAGCCCGTCCAGTTCCACAGCAAGCTCTAATCGTGAGCTTTCCAGGTCCGAGCTCCTCTCCCACAGCAAGCTTTGGTCTTCCCTCATGGAGCGCTACGTCGACTCCAAAGGCGAGTTCATCATCAAGCGGCTGGGATATCGAGCGGAGCTCCTCCAGCGCGATTCCAAGCTCCTCCGGCACGGCTACTCCAAGTAGCATCATCCCGGGTGGATTCGGCCATGGTCCGTCACGCCCTGGCCCGATCGCGAACGGCGGCAAAGGCAAGTGGATACTGATCGCCAGCAAATCATCCACCGGCGTTTCCAGGATCACCACCCGCGTCGCCACCACCCCATCAGTGCCAGAAGTGCTGTACGTGCTCGAGCGGCTGTACCATCCTCTAGACATCTTTCGTTCTTTCTGTTTTCCCGGTATGTTCTTCGTCCTCGTTCCCTCGATTGGTCGTTCGCAAGCCCTACCATCAATTGATTGCTGCCCATGGCACGGCTATACGCGACGACCAGCCCGGTAAGCGTGAATTGAAGCATTCCTGATTGTTTTTTGACGCGTTTTTTCGTTCTTCAGTTTCAGCGACCTTTTTCCTCTTTACCATGGTATTCGTTTGCTATGGTAGCTGGACGGCTTATTTTTCAGCTCCAGGTAAGCTCGGAATGTTTGAATCGCCCCTAGATTTACAGTTTTTTCATTCTTTTCAGTTTTTACAGTTTTTCGTTACCAATCACTCAATCAACCTCCTACAAACAAACCAAGAGAACTACTGTTCCAGGGAGAGCTTTCTACCATCAGCTCCCAATCCCATCTCAGGATTGTTCATCCGAGGCCTACAGTCCACGTCCTGGTGCTCGCTCCTCTAGATCTTTTGTTCTCTTTCTTTCGTCGCCTTCTTCGTCCTCGCTCTCTCGTTCCGTCGATTGGTCGTTCGCAAGCTCTTCTATCGATTGATCGCTGCCCATGGCTATAAACGCGACGACCACCCCGGTAAGCTTGACTCTTTGATTGTGTTTTGACACACGTTCTTTCCTTGGACAGCTCTTTGATCTTGGCCATCATTTTCGTTTCTATTTGTGTTTTTTTCCGTTTTCGAGAGTACGTTACTAAAGAGCAGCTTTTTTCCATCTCATGGTAGCTGGGATGGACCTTCGTCTTCAGCTCCAGGTAAGCTCTTCCGATTTTAAAGCCTCCCGTCGATTTACAGTCTGTCAGATTAGTCAAGTGCTCGGGCCCTCAACGAACCTAAGGAGAGAACTATTGTTCCTGCGAAGGCAAATCGTTCACTCGACCTGCCTCATGATCGAGAGTACTGTTCCAGCGAAAGCAAATCGTTTGTAAGTAGCCATTTACAAATTCGTTTCAAACGTTTACAAGGCAGGCCAGTAGCGTGACAATCTCCTCAAACTTGACTGCTCAGTCGTCCAAGTAATAGTAAGACCCGGTAGCCTTTTGCTCACGATCTTTGATGGAGTCGAGCTTGTTGATCCGCGGCCTAAAGTTCGTGGGATCACGCCGGAAGGTGATGTCCAGGTGCTGCGCAAAGCGAAAAAGTGGAATCAAATCAGCCATGAACGCCTGGAGAAGGAGAGAGAAAACGCTACTCACCGAGAGGAACAGGTTCATCCCCGTGAGGAGACTCTGGGGCGAGTTGGCAACGCACTCCACCGACGGTTTTCCTTCGTAGACGATGACCCTGTCCGCCAAGTACGTTGCCATGATCAAGTCGTGCTCCACCACGAAGGCCGTCTTCTTGGCGTGGAGGATGAAGCGCTTGATCACCTTGCACGCCACCAGTCGCTGCTCGGAGTCCAAGTGAGCGCTGGGCTCGTCGATCAGATAGATGTCCGCGGGCTGCCAAGGCAAATGGTTAGATATGCTGCGAGGATAAGTTCAAGGAAAAGCGCTACTACCTTTCCAAGGCAAAGGCAAATAGCAACGCGCTGGCGCTCTCCACCCGATAAGTTGGCAACTTCCCGGTCCATGAGTGCCTCAATCTGGAGAGGCTTCATCACGTCCGTGTTGAATTGAGGATGAAAGCACGAGTCCCGGATCTTGGTGTGCAGCAAATGCCGGACCGTGGACTGGGAATTGGAGTTGACATGTTGTGGCTTGTATGAGACGTTGAACTCGGGAATTTCTTCGGAGTCACGAGAATCGTCGTCGGATTTTAGTAGCCCAGCCTGAGATTGGAAGAAACCTTACAGGTGAAAATGGAAATGACTTTGAAAACTTACCAGCATTCTTATGAAAGTGGTCTTTCCGGTTCCATTCTCCCCGAGCATCACAATAATCTGTGAGTCTGTGAAGTCCCCCTCCTTGATTTGAAGCTTGAAGCTTCCTTGAGTCCTTGACATGGCAGGATACTTATACCGAGTGTACGCCTGGACTTCCTCGGCGCTCTCTTGAGCGCTCTCAGCAACCTTGCATTGACATAATCCCCGTTTTAATTGAAAAATTAGTGAAAACAATTCTTACCTTGAATGTGAGGGACACATCACGGAATCGCACATTTTCCGTAGGAATATATCCAGCGAGGAATACGTTTATGCCTTCCCTCACGGAGAAAGGGAGCGTCACAACGCCATAGGCACCGGGCTTCCCGTAGAGGCAGCAAATGTAATCAGACAGATAGTCAAGAACACTCAGGTCATGCTCCACGACGATCACATAGCTGCATTGCAAACTCAAAGTAAGTTGAGGAAAACCAAAAAAGAAAGGAGTTCGTACTTGGTTGGCGTGAGAAGGGACCGAATGACTTGAGCAGCCTTGAGCCTCTGCCGAACATCCAGAAAGCTGGATGGCTCGTCAAACATGTAGACGTCCGCCTTCTGCACGGCCACCTCGGCTATAGCAAAGCGTTGGAGCTCTCCACCGGACAAATCCTCCAGATTTCGGTCCAGGACGTCGATCAAATCAAGATCACGGCAAACATCCTCCATCGCACCTCTTTCATCCTTCCGCGAAAGAGCTTCACCGACGTTGCCTTTGATCACCTTAGGAACTTTGTTCACGTCCTGCGTTTTCGTGACCACCTGAGACAGCAGGCTTCGTTAGGAAATCACTAGAACTAGAGTCCTGTCTCCATACCTTCAAATTATCTTCTACACATCGCAAGAAGTAGTTCTGGAGTTCCGATCCTCTGAAGTATGTCAAGATCTCTTGCCAGTCCGGAGGATTCTACAACGTAAAGCTGTCAGCTAGGAACTAGGCAAATAGCACAATAAATACCGCAAAGTTCCCCAAGTTGGGCTTGAGGTATCCGTGAAGAACTTTCAAGGCGGTCGTCTTTCCAATTCCATTCGTCCCAACAAGGCCCAAGACCTGGCCTGGCTTTGGAGTAGGAAGCCTGTTTAAGTGAAGTCAGCACCACCACCCACAAGGCATCCACCAAGCAAACCTGTGTAACTTGAAACTGTTCGCTCCATATCGATGTGTGGTTTCTTTGTCCAACTCCCTGGGAAGATTGATGATCTCTATCGCCCGAAATGGACATTTCTGCCACATACAAGATATGAATAGAAGAAAGAAAAAAAAGGGAAAACGCACTTTCACGCAAATACCACAACCAATGCACAGCTCCTCCGAAATGGACGAGATCTTGGATGCTGACGAGACCTCGACGCACAGCTTCCCTGAAAATTCGAATTCATTCTACCATTCGAGAGAGGAGAAGGAAAGCTTGCCTGTTTTCACCACGGGGCAGCTCTTCTTGCACTCTTGGTTGCACTTCTTGGGCTTGCAACGATCGGAGTTGACGACGGCGATCCTAGTGAGACGACTCATTGTTAAAAAGGGAAATGAAGACCTAGTTTCGTAAAACCAGCTTTATACTACTTTGGACGGCTCGATACGCGCTCCAGTAAACGGTTGCGATAGGCCCAAACCAACGACCCACCCTAAAAGGCTGTTGAGAATGCTTTAGATTATTGCATCCAGCAGCTCAGTGACGACTCAGCCATATGATCGCGGCGGCTACCCGGATGTTTCTTGTCTTCGAGTATATGGTAGGATTTCGTAAAAGAAACTACCACCTCGACTTACAAGTTCATTCGTACATCGATCAATTGCCTTCCACAGACTGCCATACGTACCTTTTAAAGGCAAAAAGTCTTGTTTTTCTTCATTCATTTGTACCGATCCAGAGATCTTAAACCAGGTTTGTTATGTTCATTTTCATCTTTATGCTTACATGAGTTGTTCCGTTCCAACAGTGATGCTATCAAAGGGGCTGATTTTGGACTCGGCACCATATACGTTGTAGTCCGTTTTTTATAAGTTATTCGTAGAATAAAATTATGTTTTTCAGGTATCGGCGTCAGAGGTGCTTCAGGCAGGTACGCAATTGGTATGTCTATAAACCTTGAGTTCCGTTGAGTACCTTTATTCTTCGGCAGCGAGCCTTTAAAGCTTAGTCTGATATTTTCGAAGTGGTTTTTGATTTCAGGGCTCTTTCTGGATTAGTTATTGACGAGCCTGCTGGGCTGCAATCTTTCTAGGTTCATTGTGGATTCATGAATAATTCCCGTGGTGACATTCATCCACGGGACTGGGGACAAGACATATCTGGTGTGAATTTGTGGTTGCCTCAGGAATTTCGACGACGACGACATGCCTCACCATGACTCCTCTCGATAGATTTCTCTGGAGAGCATCAAGGCCGAGGGCTTGCTCACCGAAAACGGAGGTGGTCAGGCATCTGGCGGCTAGTTCTTCTTGCCGTATGACGAGCCTTGCCGGAACGGCAAGGTACCCAAGCTCCTCACTCACAGGATCTTTCCGGCGGTGAAGTATAGCATCTGGGACGATGGAAAGATGGAGCTGGTCGTGGACCCGATTCTCATACTTGAGAGGTTTGGAATCTCCATCGTCTCTCTCACCTTGTTTCTAATTCTCATACTTGAGAGGTTTGGAACCTCCAGCGTCTCTCTCACCCTCGTTTCTAACTCGTTCGTTCGTTCGTTCGCATAGATATCTCTGGCGAGGCGGGCATAAGTTCGCCATCGCTCGACACAAACACCACAAGAGCATTTACGAAGAGGCCGATGCCAACAAGCGGAGGAAGAGATACGCGAGGCAGCTGATAGACAAACACATGGAGATCTACAAGCGCGAAGGCATGCAACCATGGAGCAAAGCCAAGCTCCCAGTTCTTAGTGGCCAATTCTTCTTGAGCAAAGTTCACTGTTCTCCCTCTCTCGATTTTTCCAGATGTTCCAGAGGGAGCAGTGATCATCCGCGAGCACACTCCACTCACGAACTTGTTCTGCTGCCTGTGGTTCAACGAGGTGAACCGATTCACGCCGCGCGACCAGCTGAGCTTCGGCTACGTTGTCCACTGATTGAACGGCTCCTTCCCCTTGTTCATGTTCCCGAACTGCGAGTACAACGCGCTCTTCGTCCTCCACAAGCACACACGCGAGCACTCGTCCAAGGTGGAATGGGTGAAGACGCTGGACGAGCTCAAGGACGAGAGCATCGCGTTCGAGACGACCGGGGCCGTTGACCGGCATGTTGACCAACCGTTGACCAAAAGCCCGAACTTGGATTTAGGGCTGACCTGCAATAGGGCATTTTTTTTTCTGTGGGATCCAGCTCTCTCCGACAGTCTTTCCAGCGATCGATCGAGCTTGCGATCTTCATGAGGTGACTTTGTAGATTCTCTCTGGGTGATGGGATCTAGTAGCGAGGTCTCGGAGGACATCGAGTGGCACTCCCCGGGAGGAGTGCCAGCGGCGGCTGCGCCATCGCCAGCCCCGCCGGAGGAGGCGAAATTGATCGCGCCCATCAAAGGCAAGCGGAGCTGCGGGATCAGGAAGAGGAATTCGAGCGTGAAAAATCGCAAGGCTGAAGTGGTGGAGGAGGAGCCGGAGGAGAAGAAGTTGAAGAAGGCGGCGCCAAAGCGGAGCTCGACCAGGGATCGCCACACCAAGGTGGAGGGGCGGGGGCGGAGAATCAGGATGCCGGCGGCGTGCGCCGCCAGGATCTTCCAGCTCACGCGGGAGCTGGGCAATAAGTCTGAGGGCGAGACCATCGAGTGGCTGCTCAAGCAGGCGGAACCTTCGATCATCAAGGCCACGGGCACAGGTACCATCCCGGCGCTCGCCTTCTCAGTGGCGGCGCCGCTGGCCCTCCGCCAGGCCGCCGCCAATTACGTCTCGCCGATCGCCGTCGCCACCCGCTCCAGCCTGCCGCTGGATTTCGCGGCGCCGCGAGTGGACAACGCTAACGCCACCACCACCACCACCACCACCACCACCACTATCACCACCGAGGGTGGCGGCGGTGGTGGCGGTGGCGGCGATGAGAACTCCAACGAGAGCCATCGAAGGTACGAGTTCCAAGAGAATGGGGACAGTGGATCCATCGGAGACGATCATGGAGAGGGGAACGCCAAGAACTTGCTCACTAGCTTGAAAGATGATCCACGATCTCTCCAATCCAAGCAACAGCAAGCTCTCGACGACCACCACCAGCATGACCAAGAAGAACTCGCGATCCATCACCAGCAGCAGCAAATCTCTTGGCCCGTGCCAAACCTGTGGATGCTGCCAGTTCCATCTATGGGTGATCACTCGTGGGCATACACCACTTCGACTTCGTGTCCCTCGAGCTTCTCATCGTCGGCGGCGATGATCCAGCAGCAGCTCCAGCGGATGAATGCGAGCAGCCTGATCGAGCTGGGGCCTCTGGGATCGATGCTGGCGATGCAGCATCACCCGGATCTTTGCGCCCCTGGCAGCGATAACTTCAACCTCTTTGCCGCGACGTACCACCACCATCTCCAACGCCAAACATATGATCCTCACGTTACTTCACGAGACGATAGCGGCTAGCATTGTCATGCTTAAAATCCCCTCCACTTGTAAAACATTTCAACTGTTGTCATCTTGGACGTTCAAATTTTTGGTTTAAGGAATATATAAATATTGATTTTGCAATGTGTTTAAGTTTCTTAATGGCTGCAGGTAACTTCCCACCTACCATACGAGTAGAATTTTTCTTCTCTGAAAAGCCAGCAGAATCTAAGATAAGTTTTTTCCTCGTTTTACTCTTCTCTCCAGATCATTTTTAGAAATTACATCAATATGAAAGTTTGATTTAGAAAAGTGACTTTTTAAGATTGCATAAATTTTATTTTGCACTAAAACAAGTATGCTTTTTGGCTTTAAAAACCCATGTACCTAGAATATTCAAGTATATTCTATCCTTAGACTTAATTAATATCCCGCATCAAAAAAATTAATGGGAGAATAACTATACCTTTTGTGCTCCATTTTCTACACCCTCTTAGTCAAGTTTCAAGTGGCTTTCAAAAAGTAGGGTCTTAAAAAAGGAAGGATATTGATTCATCTGTGACTGTGTTAGAGATTTCCATTCGAGGAAAAGCTTTAGGGAGCATAATGTTCTGTGCTTTTGCTCACAGAATTCAGGCAGGCAACCTTTTGCATAGATCCATAGAGACATAAATTCAAGCTTCTAAATTTTTTAGTATTCTTCCAAGTTCATTTAGCACCAACTTGTTATTTCTTGCGAAGCCACTCTATATGACTTCGTCTCCAACACCGTCTACATCAAATGGCTTATTTTCGCAGGTACTTAGCTTTCGATTGATTCTCTTTGCGTTTTTCTCGAAGTGCCTTCGTATACTTCTCCCCTTGATAAATTCTTGGTGTGGTTCTTTATCTTAGAGAATTTACACATTGTCATTGCAGGCCTGATACAAGTTCTTTCATGCAATTGGCAAATGCATGTTACCCGCTGCCAACTCGAGCACTCTACCTCACTCTCAGCAATCTTAGCTTCGGGATTAGTATGGCAAGCCAAGGGGGAAGCTCCACCAGGGAGCTCAAAATGCTCATGTTGTGTCTGGGAGCTTAACAATGGGGCAGCATCTCGAGCCTCAAGTCTGCTGGCCAAAACCATAACCATTTTCTCGTTCCTCAGAAAAAAATCGGGGGTTGCATTGCAGGGGATCACTGCCATGGTTGAGAATGACAAGGATCAGCCAGGAAATGCAAAAGCATGACATAACAGGCTGTCACACAGATGACAAACTTGGTTACTCTGTCCAAGTTTGAATGGAGTTTGATAGTATACTACGAGCCACTAATTAGTGGCTTAATTAGTAGCTTAATTAGTGGCTCCCAACATACTATCAAACTCCTCATCATTCTACCTCAGCCTCTCCAAGGCTGGCTCAGCTTGGGATTCTTTTAACTAATGCAACCTCTTCAATTTGTGAAGTTGGCCACAAGTATTGAAATTGTTCTAATTTCTTAAATGCTTCTTGATGTTTTCATCTTGTATGGTTTTTTTTATTAAAAAAAACTATTTTAAATTCCCAAAGCAAACCAATAATTTTTATAGCACAATAAATTACTTAATGGTCCAGAAATTCGTTTAAAGGTGTTTTAGTAGTTATGGTGTTATTGATTTTCTTTGAGATCTGGCCAAAAAAATTGCTTTAAAAGTGACTTTTGGTATGTGAGTGGTGTATTGGGATTAGATCCCTCCTTGTGAGTGTTTGAGGTGCATTGGTGGGTTTTGCAGTTAAGACATTATAACTTATGTGACGCTAAATATTCATTAAGCTATGTAGGGAATTAACATAAATTTCTTTTTGAAATTATTATCCACCAGAAATTAGCCTTGAGATAGCTTTTTTACTATTGAAAAACACATTAACTTAGAAATGGACCAGCCTCGCCTAGGGACAAACCGTGGCTGAGCTCTAAATTTCGTTGGTGTAAAACCAACAGCTGCGATATGTTACCTTTGGACGGCTCGAGACGCGTTCAAGTAAACGGCTGCGATAGGCCATGCAACCAACGGCTGCGATAATTGCACCCCGTTGTCTCTTCCAAGTTAGGTCACCCTAATTCCCAGAGGGATTGATTGGAGGGAGCGGTGCGGAGCGAGCGAAGATCTTGTCGTCGCCTGTTGGGAATGATCCATGCCCGGGTAGGCGCCGCTGGCCAGTGTGATGAGATCGTATGGACGAGGCAAAGGAATCGCAGCGGTCACTGAGCCGCTGGATTGATGACGGGATTTGTCCATGGAAATTGTGGGGTTTAGGTGCAATGGCTGGAACGATGCCCCGATCTGTCAAAATTCTCGACGATTGCTGTGCTGCTGCGGCTCATTCCTTAGACAATCCGATTATGGAGCCCATT